GGGGGGGGGGGGGGGGAGGTAATAATTAAATTCCAAATTTGAGAAGTCCTCAACTTACTTTAACTTTTAATTTATTAAAAATTGAACAATGCATTTACCTCAATGTTCTTGATTTATATCAACTTTCATGAAATAATTGAACTGAAATTTCCATTATCCACTCATTTTCTCATTAAAGTGTGAATTTTTAATAACGCAATCCCTTGTAATTTCAATGAAATTATCACTCGATAATTTCCTAGGAGGATATGAGAAACAGAAAAAATTGTTTACAGTGTAGATAATATCCTGCTATATAATTGTAGTAGTAATATGATATTACTATTACGAATATCACAGGTTTCTGTTAAATGCTGACAATTGGACAAACAAGATAATTCAAAATAATCAAAATAGATAATGAACATCTACAATTTTATTAATTTTTTTGTTGTACGTTCATTTCAGGGTCTCGAAGCAGCGAAGTACAAAGGGAGTGTAGACTGTGCAGTGCAAATATGGAAGAAAGAAGGGCCAATGGCGTTCTACAAAGGCACAGTGCCCAGATTAGGGAGAGTGTGTCTTGACGTTGCAATTACATTCATGATTTACGATTCATTCATGGAGCTTTTCAACAAGGTCTGGCCTTGAGTAGCCATCAGACTCATGAGATAAACGAATTGCCATATCAAGTGCCCTCGAAACTGACAGAAGCAATAGAGAACGAATTTTTAGTGGAGTGGTAAACAACGAAAGGCCAAACGAATTTCCCAATTACTTCACAGATATCTCTGGAACTGGAAGGTTCAGGGGAAAATATCGGAATTTATTTTTCACATAGAATTCCATTCCTATATATCAAATTTTTATTTTACCTTTTCCCTCGACTCCTCAGTTCCGGAGATATCTTTTACCTCTTCACTTCACAAACTCAAACAAACACAGGAAAAATCCTTGAAAAATTCACATCGACGAATTTTTTTACGTGATTGTTAATACCGAATCTTTGATGTACATAACAAGATTTTATACACAATTAATTTAGATCAACGAAACGAGTGTGCACTGTTGCACAGTGTTCACAGAATTCAGATTTATTTTTCAAAATTTATTTACATCCACTTAAATAAATTTATTTATGCATGTTAATTCGAAATTTACACGATAAAATATATTTTCTTTATTTTTATTTACGGGTTCTAGACATTCCAGTGGTTTAATTCTGTAGTCGAGTGGTTAAAAGTCATTGTCGTTTTGTTCATTGTTAATTGCGTGATTAATGGTCTCAAGAGAAGTGACAGGGGACCTCTGTAGCTATAGAAATCTTCAACCAAAAGGTCTTGTGATATTTTTACTCACAGACACTCATTATCGAAATAATGACGTTAGTAACAAAATAAACTGATCACCATTTCACTACAGAATTGGCTTAAAATGCATTCATTCCAATCGTTCCACACCTGAAACAGCGTAAAACCGAAATTAATTATTTAATGAATCAATTAAGTCAGGAATTCATTTGCGTACAAACAGAAGATGATGAAGAATAAAAATCCTCAAACGAGACCAAAAAATCAATTCTTAATTGATTCAATGAAACAATAAATTTGTAATTTATCAAGTGAATAATATATATTGATTAAAACCTCAGAAATGTTTTTCATCCATTCAATTGGACGATCACCTTTGCCTTCACGCGATGCGAACGCGGGGGAAAAATGAAGGGAATTTTACCGAGTCACTGGCGTACGTAACGTGAGAGTCAAATTCCAACGGTATTAAAGTGCGGTGTACCTGTGTACTCGAGCATCTGTGGCTTACCACAGCCATTTTTACCATGTGTCATGAGATACTGTTGGTGCTCAGTATCCCTTCCCTATTACTCTGTGGCTGAAAATAATACCGCGAGGATTTTCTTCAGAATTGGAGGGCAACATTCAGTAGTCAAGTTGTGAAGATCAGAAAGAGAAAAATTCCAAACCATTCTGATAATATCTCCTTTTTTTTTATTTTAGCACGACACTTTACAAGTTTATACAGCTTATCAATATAGGATAGAAAAAGAAATAGAAAAGAAGAATTATAATAACAGAAAAGAATGTATAACCTGAGACAGGAGGCAGTTTATATAGATTCGTGTATAGAAGTGTACATTGGTGTCTTAGTTAGGTCTTATATTTTTAAATTGCTTTCGTTCAGAAACTTCGTGATGATTTCTATGCATATGAGATCTAGGTCTTTCAGGATATTTTGGCTAGAGTATAGAGGAAGGTAATTTTTCCTTTGTAATGCGTTGAGCATATTTTGTCTCGGCTGATCAGGTCGGGGGCAGTCCCACAGCACATGGTCGAGGTCTTCATTCGGGTGGCCACATTCGCATTGGAATGATTGATAATATCTCCGAAACTAATGGACTGATCGAAAAATGTCAGAAGTTGTTTTTGTGGAAATTTTCAAGGGCCACAAAAAAGTTTTTTTGACATTTTTCGATAAGTCACATGGTTTTGAGGATATGGGCGAAATAATCTCTGGAAATTTTGCATTCGTCTTTTTCGGTTTTAATCATCATCGATTGATTATGAAATTATGGGAGCAACGGTTGGTTCTAGATCAGAAGCTCAGTAGACTTTATTCATAGGAAATTGTCTCCACTGCAAGAAAGTCCTTTGACGCCTCTCCTGAGGGCTATTATTTTCGGAGATATCTGCCACAAATTCATCTGGATAAAATGCCTTTACTCGTCTACCGGTCGACAACATTTTCAGTTGGAAATTTTTCGCTGTTGGAGTATTTTGACCGTAGATTGACCGAAGCAGATTATTTGATCATTTTTGATAATTGGATAATTCCCATCAATTTTATTCTTCAGTATTTACAGTTTTTTCAAGGAACTTCACTCATTACAATAACAATGACTGTTATATCATTATATTTTTCGATAAACCTGATAGTTTTAAGAATACCCGTAAAATTTCCTTGAAATTTTTTCATTCATCTCTTGCGATTTTAATCTTCATCGGTTAATTATCAAATTATCTCAACAAGACTTGATACAGGCCAAAACCCCATAAAACTTTTTAAATTAATCGACTGCAAGATTTTCTCTATCCATCTCCATCGATTTTATCCTCCAATGCCCTAAAATCTTTAAATGATTCATTATTAATGGCCCCTATACCCTCCAAAATTCGAAAAACTCCCAACATTGTTCGATAAAACTGATTATTTTAAGAATAACTGAGAAATAAGCTCTCCGGAAATTCCACATCCATCTCTTCCGGTTTCAGTCCCTAGCGATTAGTTCTCAAATTATCTCAACATCAGCTGCTACTACCCCAAAACTTCATAAGACCTTTTTTGTGGGAAATTTCCTTCTCTACAAAAAGTTCTCCCAACATTTCTCCTTAAATTCATTAGTTTCCAAGATCCTCTCAAATAAAACCAAATAGAATTTCTTCAATCATCTTCTCCCTAACAAGATTTTCTCCATCGATCCCCATCGACCCCTCGATCCCCAAGAAACCGTAAATAATTCATTATCACTGGTTCCTGTGGCTCGCAAGGCCCCTGGAAACGGCGGCTAAACCCCACAAAAACGTAAATAACGTTGGGAGTTAATTACAAATGACTTTCCTCCCTCAATTTCCCCAGCGGAAACCTCGCAACGTTTGAGGGACTGGTTGAGGCCCCCGTCCCCCCACTCTCTCGCCCAATGAGGCCCTGAAGGGGGGACCCGGGGTCACATTCCAAGATGGCTGTGCCTGAGGAATGCAGTGGGTGCCCCCCTAAGACGCCTTCCTCTCTCCTTTTTTAAGCGAGCCAATTTCTTTCATACCCATCGAAAAACAACTACTTACCCCACAATTCGCCAAATCCCCACACCAAATTCATCTCCTCACCCTCAATCGCCGATACCTCATATTTACTGTGACACTGTGAACTGTTGGAAATTGAAATATTGCGTGTTAAGGGGCAGAGGAAATTTAAAAAACGGTCGAAACGTGCGTGAGTGAGAGAAAAAAAAACAAGAAAGGGAATCAAATTTTCGAGGGACTGTCAGTTACAAGTGTTGGATTCTTTTAATTACACTCTGGACCTGGAGGATGCTTATGCAAGACGATGCAACCGGCTCGTCTTAAACAATGTCTCATCGTGATATCTCTGAGGTAAATTATGAACTTATTAATTGATTATTCATTAACGCAAAAAATTGATTGACAAAGTGCCAAAATCAAATTTAAAAAAATTCTGTCTGCAGAAAAACGAAAAAATAAACGTATTTATGTTCTCAAATTGCATTATATAGTTCAGTTAAACGATGAAATTGAAAGAAATATTAATTTCTGGGGGAAGATGGTATTGATCGATTTGTTTTTCCCTTTTATTATTCGTGTTTTCATAATTCTGCAATGTATGCCGTAGAAAGTGGAGAAAATTTGCCATTCCATAAGGTGCTTAATGGCCCATTCCACCTCATTTTCTTATCGCAAAAATACTCTCCAAACAATCTTTCACTTCTTGAAATATTTAACGTTCACCTGTTGATCAGGAGTGGTGAAGTAAGGGTACTTTATTTCGCCATTGTGGCTGATATCGTGGGAGTACAAGGGTTCAGGAGATGATATCAAGAGTCCTTTTTGCGAAGAATTTTATGGAGTACAAAAAAGATCTTTTGGTTACTTCTCTAGAATCAGTCATAAATGAGATAATCCCTTGATTGATGGAAGGAGTGAGTAGTAAAACGATGAAGCAGAGTCGTATCCATTATTTTTACGAATATCTTTGATGTCAGTGGACCCTTTTCTTGAGAGATTTCAAGAGCAACAAAAATTTTTTCTGAAAAGACTAGTTTCCGCGATATTATTAAAATTATCTGAGTAGTTTTTGATTCATTGGTTTCTATGGAATTAATATTTTCAAATTATCTCAACAACAGTTGATACTAGCCTAAAACCTCATAAGACCTTTTTTGTGGGAAATTTCCTTCTCTGCAAAAAAGTTTTTCTAACATTTCTCCTTAAATCCTTTAGTTTCCAAGATACGTCTAAATTAATCGACATCCAATGCCTCCACTCATTTTCTCACTGCCTGTAAGAATTTCTCTATCGATTTCCATTTATTTTATCCTTCAATCCTCGAGAAACTTTAACTGATTCATTATCAATGACCCCTATATCCACCAAGATTTGAATAACTCCCAACATTTTTCGATCAAACTGATTGGTTTGACGGTAACTGTGAAATAAGTTCTCCGAAAATTCCACCTGTTGATCAGGAGTGGTAAAGTAAGGGTACTTTTATTTCGCCATTATGGCTGATATCGTGGGAGTAAAAGGGTTCAGGAGATGATATCAAGAGTCCTTTTTGCGAAGAATTTTATGGAGTACAAAAAAGATCTCTTGGGTATTTTTCTAGAATCAGTCATAAATGAGATAATCTCTTGATTGATGGAATGAGTGAGTAGTAAAACGATGAAGCAGAGTTGTGTCCATTATTTTTACGAACATCTTTGATGTCAGTGGACCCTTTTCTTAGGGGATTTCAAGAGCAACAAAAATTTCTTCTAAAAAGACTAGTTTCCACGATATTTTTAAAATTATCCAAGTTGTTTTTGATTCATTCATCTCTGTGAAATTCATATTTTCGGGATATCTTTTGGACTAGTAGGTTTAGGGAAAAATCACAAGCCCTTGACATTTGTAGTAATTTTTCATATCACTTAGTAAACAATAATGTGAATCTTAATCGGACGCTAGAGTTGTGAAACTCAATTGATCAAGTTATACGCATTATTCGACAAAATATTTTTAAAAATTGTTGGTTTTGAGAAGTGTGTGAGAGAACGTGTGTTTTGAGAAAGTGTGTAATTATGACGTGTTTTTTTTTTCAAATTTGTTAGTTTTGAAGATATTGTCAAAATTATCGTAAAATTAGGTGAGATTTTGTATTCCTGTCTTTTTCTACTGAATTACAATTTATTAAATATGAAAATTCTTTTCGAAATTTTCACCAAATTCTATTCAAGAAAGTTACTTTGACTGTCATTGATAGCTAGACTCATTAGAAGATAATACGACAGTCATTAATCTGCTAATCGACAGTTGAATGAATGAGTAGTAAGAGACAATGACTCCACATCATCCGCGTTAATTTAGTGAATATCTTCCAAAATGAGGAAATTGCGAGGAATTTGAAAAAATAGAATTACATTTTTCTAATGAATTACCATTTCCAAAAAATCTCAGCAACTACCGGGTTTAGGACGAAACGTCAATAAACTTTCTTTGTAATTTAAAAAATTCTCTACTAAAAAGTTATCACGATTATTTTTCATAGCATCACTCGTTAATGAGAGAATGTAACACTCAATTGAAGAAATCTATAGTGAAAGGAGATGTAAATATCTTATAAAATTGATGGTTTGGAAGGAAATGTTTGAGGCTTTTTTTGTGTATAGATATTTAAAAGATTGATTTGATTGATTGATTGATTTGAGTTGTTTTTTTCATTAAATTACCGTTTTAGAAAAATCTCATATACTTTCAGATTTAGAAGAAAACTAAACCATTTTTCTTTTAGTTCACACATACAGTCCCTGCAAAAGAACATCTTCGGAAATTTCGCTCTAAATCTAAAAGTGTTGCAGACTTTTGCAAAATAATCTGAACACAAATTTAGACTTTCTGTATTTTTTACTGTCTTTTTCTACTGAATTACCATTTCTTTCAATCTCCGCATCTAGTTGGTTTAAAAAGAAACGCCAAAGAACCTTCTTCGTAGTTTTGTAAATTCTCTACAAAAATCTATCCTGTTTATTTTGCATAGGATCGCTTATTAATGAGAGAATGTAATACTCAGTTAAAGAAATTAGTAGTGAAAGGCGATGAATGAAAAGCATCCAATTTTTGTCGTAAATATCTTCTAACATTATTGGCATGCAAGGAAATGTTTAAAGGTTTTTATGTGTATAGATATTTTCAAAATGATAATTCTTGCTAAATTACCATTCTTTTCAATCTCCGCAACTAGTGAGTTTAGGGAGAAATGTCAGAACTTTCTTCGTAGTTGAAAAAATTCTCCACAAAAAAATTATCGTGATTACTTTCCACACAGCATAGCTTATTAATGAGAGTATGTAATGCTCAATTGAATAAATCAATAGTGACAGGCGACGACTGGAAAGCATTCAATTTTTTGGTAAATATCTTAAAATTAATGGTTTGAAAGGAAATGTTCGAGTTTTTTTTGTGTCTAGATATTTTCAAAATGGTAATGGTAATGGTGGTTTTTACTAAATCCCCATTTTAGAAATATTTCACCAATTTCTAGTTTTAGAAGGAATCGTTAAAAATTTTTTTTGGAAGATTACAAAATTCCCCACAAAAAAGGTTTTCTGAAATTTTCTCCTGAACCTAAAAGTGTCGAAGATGTACAGAATAATCTGAACACGAATCTTCAACTCATCTCCCAATATTCACTCCAAATTCCGTTTCTAATGATTAAAAACAGGTGGAGCCCGAAGGTACGTCGGCCCTGGCCGCAGGATCGAGGGCCCTATTTCTAGAAACAGTGAAGAAAAGTAATGCAGCCTGTCAGAATGGTGATTACGCCCTGGCTGCTAATTTATACACCGAGGCCCTCGCACTTGATCCACTCAGCCATGTACTATACTCCAACAGATCAGCAGCACGTCTCAAGATGGGCCTCTTCGCACTGGCCCTTCAGGACGCTGTGCGAGCCACAGAGCTCCTCCCCCAGTGGCCCAAGGTATATCACGATCCCAAAAAAGCCCCAATTTTTTTACTCGATTCTATCTCAGTAGTGAAGTGGTTACCTCAGCCAATTCTTCTCCCATTCCAAATGACTTAATCCCCAACTCGGATAGGGGCAAGTGCCAATACCTCAGCCAATTATATTTATCGTGATACCCGCCTCAAAAGTCCACCTTTCGAAATGGTTTAGTGTGCGTAAAGCGGTTCTTTTCCGCACGGCGTGCGTAATGTTCACGAGCATGCGCAAGAACAATCACATTATCCCCACTATTGTTCCGAACAGTGAACTCGGCAAGTATCACAAAAAATAGGATGTGTTACACGTGCGTGTGAAAAAGTGGAACTTTACGCACTAGTAACACAATATACTAATTCAGAACCGGTGGATCCAGAGGAAAATGTCAGAGAATTTTTTGCACATCGTGGAATTCTGTACTGAAATAGTATATTTCTATACGAGGGCGTCAACGTGTTTTTCATCACTTGTGCGTAAAGCGATATTTTACTAACACTGCGCGCAAAATTCCACTTCCCGCACATTGTGATGAAAAATAGGGGTCTACACTCATGGGAAGTATTCCGCGACCACTGGGAGGGTAGCAGTCGCCTTCGGTGAGCACACAAAAACACTTTTTCATCACGCTGTGCGAAAAAGAAACTTTTCTGTACTGCTTCTCACGATTTCTCGTCTGGGAATTGGTATTACATACTTCCCAAACTCGAAAACTTGAAGATCACTACAGAAAAATATCGTTCCTGGGCTGTTACGATGGGGTTTTTTTACTCGTGTGGTTGGCCACTCCTCGCCTACGGCTCGGAGGCCAACGCCACACGAGTAAAAAACCCCATCGCAACAGGCCGGAAAAATACCATTTTAAGCACGCTTCGCGTGCCTAAAACGTCCCTATTCCATACAGTGTGATGAAATAGTATATTTCGTAACGAGCTAAAAAACATTTTTTCACGAGTTACGAACAATATTTTTCATCACGCTGTGATGAAAAGTGAA